ATAGAAGGTGCCTATAATAAATTAAAATTACCTGAATCTCACCAAATTCCGCATTGCTGCACTGCACTGCTAGGCAATTGGTCGACAACTGAAATTTATGGCCGGTCGCCAAGTTCGGCTGTGTTTGTTCGCCGTTTGCCAAGTTGCTGCGTCAGCGGCCGAACCTTGTACATACCGCCAACTTTTTGGTTCTTCAATTGAGATCGGAAAGACTATACCATAATCTTTTAATACATGTACTGACACTCACATGCAAGGTGTAGCAAAAATGCAGGTCATCCCATTAACTGCGTGTTTTTGGCTACAAAACATGAAGATTTAACCCTACGTGCCTATATAAAAAATGGCCCCCTTAAAAGATACAGGGTGTTAAAGTTGTAGTTTTAAAATCGTTTGCTCGAAGTGAACAAAATTAATATTAATATTTTTTTCAAGTTCAGATTTTAAAAAATCGCTGAAACAGGTCAATTAGTAAATAGAAACTGTCACTTTCTCTTTACTAATAGACCTGTTTCAGACACTTTTTTTTTAAATTTGAATTGGAAAAAAAATATGAATTTTGTTCCATAATTTTTGGGACACAATGTATTTAGTTGCGTTTCACTATTATATCGTGATTAAGTATTGGAATGATTGTTCGTTGTGGAAAATTCCCAACCAATGTGTTGTATTTCTGGATATGAAGATAGCGTTTAGTTCCAGACGCCGTTTTTAAATAAAAGATAAACAGTTCTTCAAACAATGGTTATTTAACTATATTTTTAAATAATCAGGTTTTCCCAGGTTTATTCGTTTAATTGCCGACTTCCTGTTTTTTTATTAATCTATTGTTATTTACAAAGAAAATGAAGCTTATAGAAAAAGAAAAAGATTGAGTTTTTTTTTCATTTATGTAGGTGCAATAGGTGCTGAAATATGGTTGGTTGAAGATAATTTCATGTCCGCTAGAAAATAAATCGGAAGCATTTAACGTAAAATAATTAGGAAAAAATCTACTTTTCAAGAAAAATACACGGAACATTTTTTAAAGTACTTTAAAAAATCTTTAAAATGAACTTGACTATAAGTCATTAGTGTAAAAATGAACAGAGTTTTGATCAAAATAAAACTGTTAAATTCGCTTTTTCGGAAAAAAAATCATTACAAAAACTGATGAATTTTTCACGAGATTTAAAATTAAAGGTAATCTTTCTAAAATTTACATTTTTTATGTGCTAAGAATACATTATACAAGTTCAAACGGTTTAGAATTTTTGAAAATATTACGTTTTGATAGAAAAAAATTTTTTTAATTCCAAAAAATAAAAAATAAAAAAATACGAAAAATTTTGAAAAGTACAAAAGTTTAGATTTTTTTTTAACAGAATATTTTGCTTTTTTTCATTTGTGTAGGATAAAAATTAACAGAAATGTCGCTGCTAGAAGTTTGCAGCTGAGGGCGAAGGTCATGTTTTTCAAACCCTTTAACCTCAAAAATCTCAAAAACAACGCGTTAAAAATATTCAGTTTTGCAGTACTTTTAGCTGTCGAAATTTTCCGTAAAATCGTTTTTGGAACGTCTTAATAGCTTTAAAATTGAGAAAGTTATCGTTAAAAACCCAACGGTACCTTCTCGCATCAATTTTCGGAGTATAGTATATCAGTATTTTGGTTATCCACAACTTTGGAGCATTCTATATACGTACAATACCTTCACTTTTTCCCTTTAATCTTTTAATAGTTCTACTTATCATCTTTATAAAATCGTTTTTATTTGTATAATGAATGGTAATTTTTAAGAAATAATTTAAAAGTCATTTTTTTATATTTTATCATTGGGGGTGGTTTTTAAGGGTTAAAACAATGCGATAAATTATAAATTGTATTATAAACAAGTAAAAGAATTTAATTTATCCTATTTGCACTATCAAATCATTTCAAACTGTTAAAAACTATTTTTTTTTAAATATTTTGTTATTAGGGGTAGTTTTGTAAGAGTTGAAATATTGTAATAAATTATTTGTAATACCATAAACTATTGAAATGATTTCTATCTATAATATATGCGCTATAAAAATATTTTAAGGTAAAAGGAATCATTAATTTCATATTTTTATCATTAAGGGTGGTTTTAAGGGTTCAAACTTTATAAAAACAACGTAAATTATAACCCACAATATAAAACAATATTTATTCTGTATATTAAGATATAATTTGAGTCTATATAACATCTATTTTTATATTTATTCAGTTTTTTAGGATGAGAGGTGGTTTTCATCCCCTAAAAGTAAGAAGCGCCTATCAAGCATATATAACTTTTCATCTACAGGGTGAAATAAGCTTAATTCCAAATTTTCTTAAAAGATCAGATCTATCCGAAGGTATTCTGAGGTTTTACCCTATTTTTCTCTTCGTTTCCTGGACTATAAGCAGCTTCTACGATTTCTCACATTTAAGTACCTCCTCGCCTAAGTTATGTCTTTCATTTACTTGCTCTGTTTATAAACACCAGTCTCGGACTGTATTGCCGGCCCTCGCTCTTCTCAGGCGCAAAATCGTCCTCGACTGGCAAAATCCAGTTACCTCCTTAAAAACAATGTATAAACTGAATAAAGATCTGAAAATAAATAAATTAAATTCTGTGAAAACATGATTAGAATTCGTAATAAAAAATAGTATGTGCGATTCGTGCTGTTGCACAATATACTATTTTGTTGCAATATTACTTATATTTTTAGTACCTACTTAGCAAATTGGGCAACAAATATTTTCAGTTGTTTCATTCGGGTTGTGCCTTTAATAGAAACTTCTACATAATTTGCGCACAGTCTCAACTACACACTCTCCGTACTTATAATCAGTGGCGGCTCGTGGTTTTTTGAGATGGGTGGGCAAAATATTTTTTCTCATGTAACTTAATACCATATAGGAATAATTGCACTCTACTGGCCAACTAATTTATTTTCTATATCAAAATTATTTAAATTTTCTGTTAACAAATGACCCGCAGCTTTTTTCCCCTTGCTTACATAAAAAAATCCCATAAATCTTTCAACTACTTTACCACAATGAACATATCAAAAAACTACTAATAACTGAGATAAGCATTTAACATCCGTTGTTTCATTTGGGTACTTGCCCGCGAAATATAGAGCATTTCTTATTTCTGAAAATATCACTTCGGATGCTACTCCATTGATGCTCTCTATTAAATCATTTTGAATAGTTTTTGAAAGGCTGCTAAAAACTAGACTCTTTTCTAAAAACACCTTAAATTTATTATCGTACCTTGAACGTAAGTTTGCAAGCTCACGAAAATTGCCTTGATTAATGGAATTATCTGATTCATTATGGTCCTTAAATCTTGTTCTTGTGTAGCTAAATAAATAATCATATCAATAAAGTGCTTTACAATGTCTATTTTCGTCCACGACTTTATTATGTTTTAAAAAATTCTCACGAAATGCGGAATCACGAATAGTTTTATTGTTTTTTTCCTAATAATTTAAATTTTAATGATGCATATGTATGCTAATTCGATCGCTCATGTTTTTTTAAGGATTCATTAATATGTTTCAGATCTCAATATCCTAGATAGTTCCACGGTGTTTTACTTTTTTCACAACATAGTAAGCAATTCTAGCAATATAATTTGGTTTTGGTTTCACTGCCTGTTGACCACTCATATATCTTGTACCAATTTTTACTAAAAGATCCGTTACTTCCGCAATTGTTTTTATTTGTTAAATTTTTTATCTAATAAAAAAATTAACAATACATTAACATTGCTACTCACCAATTCGCGAATTTCACTTGCCATTTTGCTTTACTCCAAACTATTAAACAATAAAAACTTGCCTAAACCACCACTACAATTATAGGTTAAACATAAACAAATGACAATGATAAATCGCAAGATCATACGTAAGTATGAGGAATATACGAGTGAAGCCGAAGGGCTTGCCCTGTGCGTAAGGCAATTTATGTATACTCATATTATAATAATTTATTAAAAAGCTAATTGAAATTCAAAAAATGTATTAAATGGAACAAACTTTTTTTTTATATCTAACAGTTTCTTTATTATTTGAAGAAAAAATAAATATTGGATTTAAAAGTCCTAAAAATTTACATCACTTCCATATTTACAAACTCGAATCTATTAAAATATTGAAAATTTCTCCGCAATCATTCTTAATTCAGTTTAACAGCAACGAGTTAAAAAAAAAAACTTAATAATTATAATTATCATTATCACAGAATATTCAACATAGCACCGTAGATATTTATTTTTTAACTCGATTTACACATTATTATACAACGGTTTATTATTTCATTTGTTTTTTGGAATACCTTTCCAGGGAAAAATTGTTCTAATGTTTAAAAATTCATTTAAAGAACAAAATTACAGCAAATAAATATACATATGTGTAATTCCAATCGCTGGCGAAAAGCCTTAGCTGGCCTTAGCCGATACAGCACTAGTCGGGCAAAGGCGAGCTTTCCCGGCGTGGCGCAAATATTCTGAATTGGTAAACCACTTACGTTTCTGATTACTCTCTAGTCATAAGTACCTATAAGCAGGCAAGGGACGGCGTCGTTTAGTTCAGCTACGAATGTTATGTTGGTTGCTGCTGAGATCATGATTAAATTTAATTTTAAAATTTGGTAGCGGGTGTTTCAAAGGGGGTAATGCAGTTTAGATTTAATTTTACAAGAATTAGGTCAAATTATTTTGGTATATGTATATACATCTTTCTTTTATTTTTCTGAAATTATCAGGGCGCCCACCCCAACGAGCCGCCACTGCTTATAATGCATTTTCACAGTCTTCACTCCCTCATCCGTCATATACTCCATTTTGTCTCATCGCAACATGCGACCCCGCACAAAACTGCCAACTTTTCGGAATGAAAATGACGCACAATTATTTTTGGGATTTATATGAAAATAAAATTTAAAATTAGCCTAATTCTATCCTTAATGTTTCCATTAGTAACACTGTATAATTTCATTTGCAGGACATTCGTCCGCTAAGAAGATGGAGGTCACTTACAAGAAAAGCAAAGGAAACGCCGGTCTGGAAGGCGTGCAATTTCAACTGAATCTGCTGACTGTGTTTTTGCTGAACGCTCTTCGCAGCCGGAAGAACTGGAAGATCTCCACGGAGAACCAGGAGGCAGGAAAGTTCGACGACCTCGTGCTCGAACTGGAACACGAATGCGTTTTGCTGCAAGCGAAGTTCAAACAAACCAAGAAAATCAACAAGGATCAACTTTTTTCGTCCAACTCGAAGACCGCCGACTTCAGTCTCCCCAAATACTTTTTCTCGTACCTCGAGGTTAAGTCAGAGTCTGTGGAGAAGACTGTTATCATTTGCACCAACACAAATATCGACGAGAAAGGCCTGAAGAGTTTTTTGAGGCGTCGCGTTACCGGACCCGACAGCATGCTACACTACGAAGGAGCCCCATGTCACTTCTTTACGTTTAACGAGAACATCCTGCCTGATTTGAGAACCAGCGCGGAGATTTACCTCGAAAAAAATTTACAAGGCAAGGGAATTGAAAAAGCAGCAGTGACGGAGGAAAACATGAAGGACTTCTTGGATCATTTACAATTTTTCTCAAATTACCCGAGCAGGGATAAATTAGACAAAGTTATTGAACAATTACTATTCCCCCTGAACAATTCCAGTTTATATCGGAGGGTGTCCTCCCAAGAGTTGTATAAGAAGGTAGAGGATTGGTTCAAACAGCCAAAGGGTGAATATCTAACGGAGGACCGAGCTAAAGCAATGTTCAGCGAAATAAAAAGCGACAAGTACCGCGAAGAATTAAATAACTTCAAAGTGTCGTTTAAGCATAACAACGTTGATTTCACGGATCCTAAGAGAATTTTCCAAATCAGTTCCGAAGGAGGACGTTTGTTGCGAGCGTTGAAAGTGTATGGTGTTCTAGAAAGCGAGGAAAGTAAGCAGCTGTACGTAAATCCGGACGGTGAAGTAGACGAACAGAAATGCGTCATAGAGGCATTCGGACTTCCCCGCTACACCTTCTTGATAATAATTGGGATCAAGATCACGGAGGAAACGGCAATAAAGGAATTAAGTAACAAATTAAAGGATGTATTGGAGAAATACATTTTTAAAAAAGTTATTTTCGTGGACGATTCTAGCGATAGACTGAGCCAACAAATGGGACTGAACGATATTTCCCACGTCGATGGTTACGTGGCCTTCAAAGATCTCTCAGACGAGTGCCAGGAGAGACTAGTAAAAGAACAAAATATATTTTTCCAAGGACAGCGGATCAGCTTGGAAGAACTGTTAGCAACGCAGGCTCGTGAAGATTGGGCGAGGGCTATAAATTCCGAAATCCTAGAAAAGCTAGTTAGAAAGAAAGAGATCAGAGTGGGCGGGCCGCCTTCCGATCAAAACGAACGCAACTACATATATCGTACCTTCAAAAGGCAACGAGAAACATTTCGAGAGGTGACGATACGCTCCAATCTAGACGCGGATGGCAGCAAGAACAAAGAAGAGGTTTACCCAGAAGAAGGCATTCACGACGTGACGGAAGACGTGATACTCATCTCGGACAGTGCGGGAATGGGAAAGAGCACCGTCCTTACTAACCTAGCAGCGACTATAAAAGAAAAAAGTCCTCACTTGTGGGTGATCAAAATCGAACTCACCGAATATACCGCCATCTTAAGGGACCTGAAGAGGGACGGGCAATCTGTGAGCGTAACGAAACTGTTAAATTCTAAAAAAGCAACAGAACTGGCCAACCATTTAGAAAGGTTCGTGTTCTCCATGAACAAAAAGGTCGTACTGATGCTGGACGGGATCGACGAAATCAGTCCGGATTACACCGAGCTCGTTCTCAATCTATTAATCCAGTGCCGGCAAACGTCCAACTTGGACAAACTGTTCGTTACCACGAGGCCTTATATGGTCCGAGAAGTGGGAACAGTTTTGAGAGTGAAGCCCTTTGTGTTGCAACCCTTCACGGAAGATAACCAGGTGGACTTCCTCAGGAGATATTGGGAACATAATCTGGACGTGGACGGTGAGAATGAAAGGAAGTGTGAGGTGTACGCCGGGGCACTGGTCGGCAAGCTGGCATCGTGGACGAAGGGATGCGATTACAAGGAAGTCGACTTTATGGCGGTTCCTCTGCAACTCAGGATGCTGGCGGAGATCTTTCAAGAAGGCATAAAACAGAGCGAGTCGTCGGATTGGGAAGGATGCAAAGAGTACCTGAACGGAACTAGAAGAGAACCGAAACTGCCGGAAAGGGTGGCGATTAAAGAATTATACGACATGTTCATGGAGAAAAAGAAAGACGTCTTCTTGTACAAAGGAAACCCGAGCGGAAATACGGCGGCGAACATGGCGCTGAACGAACAGTTCGACGAATCTCTCGCTTACCACGCGAGCCTCGCTTTGGAATTGATCCTGCAGAAGGAAGAGTGCCAACTTTTCTCGTGTTATCGACAGGACCGCGAGGATATCGACGAGAGCGTGCTGAAAATAGGAATCGTGCAAAGATCCAACGAGGAATTTTACTTTATCCACAGGACCTTCGCGGAATATTTTGTGGCCAAGAGTTTGTTCAGTGAGCTCCAACTTCAGTTGCACACTCCAAATGTAAAATTCCAGGAGCTCTTCATCAATAAAGTATTACACGGTTCTGAATTCATGATTATCCGCACTTTCCTCGAAAATTTGCTCCGGAAGGTCGTAAATTCCACGCCTTCTAATATTTTCAAGGTGTATCAGTCCTGCGCGTGTTACCAGCACTGCCGTGACGATGGCCACAAGCTTATCCATTTGCTGGCGGAGGAAGGTTGTATCGCCATCCTGCAGCTCATCCTCAAGTGCGTAAACTTCAAAATGACCAACAAAAAATTAACCGAGTTGCCACAGCACGCGCCTTTGAAAAAGAGAAACGTTTTTCTGTGCCTCGCGCAAAAAATGGGCATCAACAACGGGAGTAAGAATATATTAAAATGCATACAGACCGTGGTACGAAAGGGCGGGGTCAACATCAGGGACGTGTTCGGAAAGACGCCCCTGCACTACGCCGCCAGCAGCGGCCGGTACGAGACGGTGAAGTTTCTCGTGGAGCAAGGCGCGAGAGTCGACAGTGTAGACAACGAGGGGCGCACGGCGCTGCACTTAGCCACGGAGACGGGCGACCTGGAAAGCGTCAAGTACCTAATGCGATCCAACGGCGACGCCAACATCGGAGATATAACGGGCTGCGAGCCCCTTCACTTCGCAATAGCCAACTGTCATTTGAACGTAGTGAAATTCCTCCTCGAACAGGGCGTACGTTTCGACTTCGGAGACGACGGCGTGCGTACGGCAGCGCTATTGGCCGTCCTGAACGGCGACACGGACACGATCGAGTTCCTGCTTCGACTGGGCGTGGACTTCAGCGTTGCGGATAACTACGGACAGACGGCGATGCATTTAGCCGCCAACTACGGCCAGACGGACAAGATTAAATTCCTCCTCGAATTGAACGTGGATTTCAAGGTTAAGGATAACAAGGGCAGCACGCCGCTGCACTTTGCCGCCGAGCACGGTCACCTCAACGTGGTAGAGATCCTTATCGGACTGGGCGCGGACTTCCGCTGCGAGGATCACGACGGCCGCACGCCCCTGCACCTCGCCGTTTCGAATAGACACTTGGACACGATCGGATTCCTCCTCGAAACCGGCGCAAACGTTGGAGATAGCAAAGGCCGCACGGCGCAGCACTTTGCCGCCCACTTCGGTCACGTGGACGTCATTAAATTCCTTCTTCGACTGGGCGCGGATGTGAACATTAGAAATAACAACGGTAACACGCCATTGCACTTGGCTTCTTCGAACGGTCGTGTGGACGCTGTCAAGTTCCTCGTCGAACTGAGCGAAGACGTCAATGCTGGAAATAACTATGGTCGCACGCCGCTGCACTTGGCCGCTTCGAACGGTCACTGGGACACGGTCAAGTTCCTCCTCGATCTGGGCGTGGATTTCAATGCCGCGGATGACGAAGGTCACACGGCGTTGCACTTTGCCGCCATGTGCGGGAACTTGGGCGTAATCGCGCTGCTTTACGAAGTGGGTGCGGATTTCACGGCTGCCGTCAACAAAGGTCACAACGCGCTGCACTTCGCCGCCATGTGCGACAACTTGGAAGTAATCACGACCCTCCTCAAGCTGGACGAGGATTTCAACGATAGAGACAGTAACGGCCGTACTCCGCTACATCTCGCGGCCATGTACGGTAACTTGGACATAGTGAGATTCCTTCGTGAGCTGGGCGTGGACTGCAACGTCGGAGATAGCACCGGCAATACGGCGTTGCACTTTGCCGCCGCGCAGGGCAAGTTGGCCATCGTTCGATATTTGGTGAAATTCGTGAACGTCAATATCAAAAACGACGAGTATCTCACGCCCTCGTACGTCGCTGCCTCGAATGGTCACTTGGAAGTGGCCAAGTTCCTTTACAAAAAGGGCGGATATTTTGCTATTAGGGATAGTAAGGGCCACACTGCGTTCCAGTTAGCTGCCTGGAACGGTCACCTGGACACTGTAAGGTTCCTCTATGAGGTGGACGGTCACTTGATGACTGCGGACGACGACATTAGCACAGCGCTGTATTTGGCTGTGGCGGCCGGTCGACTAGATGTTGCCGTGTTTCTGGAGAAACTCGGCGGTGACGTCAATATAACGGACAGCAACGGCCGTACATTACTACACGTAGCCGCCTCGAATGGCCACTTGGACGTAGTCAAATATCTCCGAGGATTGAACATACGTTTCGATATTAAAGATAATAACGACCAGATGGCACTGCACTTGGCTGCTTCGGAGGGCCACCTGGACACCGTCAAATTCCTCCACGAGCTTGGCGTCCGTTTAAAAACCGTAGATGAAGACGTTAGGACGGCCCTTCTCTTGGCTACAGCGAAGGGTCATGTGCCTGTTGCGGAATATTTCTTGAAATTCAGCGGTAACGCCGATACCAGAGACAACTCGGGCCGCACGTTGCTGCATTTAGCTACCTCCAACGGTCACTTGGACTTGGTCAAGTTCCTCCACGGACTGAGTGTAGATTTCGATATTAAAGACAACACTGGCCGCACGGCGTTGCAATTAGCCATCTCGAACGGTCACTTGGACACAGTCAAATACCTTCACGGGCTTGGTGATAGGTCGGCGCTGCATTTTGCTGCTACGGAGGGTCGGTTAGCCGTGGTAGAACTCCTCGTGGGACTCGGCGACGACGTCAACGTCACAGACGGGAAAGGTCGAACGCTAGTGCATCTGGCTGCTTCCGAAGGACACTTGGACGTTGTTAAATACCTCCTGGAACTGGGTGTAGATTCTAAGGTTAGAGATAATCACCGCCGCACGGCACTGCACTTAGCCGCTTTGAATGGCCACTTGGATACGGTCAAATTCCTTCACGAGCTTGGCGCAGACGACGTCGTGACAGCGCTACATTTGGCTGCTGCAGGTGGTCAGTTGGCTGTCGTCGGATATCTCCTGAAACTCCACGGTGATATCAACGTCGTAGACTGTAAAGGCCGCACGCTGCTGCATTTGTCTGCTTGGAACGGCCACTTGGACATAGTCGCATTCCTTCATAAACTGGGCGCCGACTTCAATATTAGAGATAGTATGGGCCGCACGTCGCTGCACTTGGCCGCCTCGAATGGCCATTTAGACACAGTCAAATACCTCCACGAGCTCGGCGTTCCTTTAAAAACAACAGACTTTGAAGGTAGGACAGCGCTGTATCTGGCTGTGGCGGAAGGACATTTGTCAGTGGTCGAATTTCTCGTGAGATTCGGCGCTGACTTCAACGTCATAGACAACAAAGGCCGCACCCCACTGCATTTGGCCGCCTCGAACGACCACGCGGACATAATCCAATTTCTTCACGACCAAAACGTAGATTTCAATATTAGAGACAACAGCGGCCGCACAGCGCTACATTTCGCCGCCGCCCACGGCCGTTTGGACACAGTCAAATTTCTTCTTCAGCACGACGCAGCTTTCAACGTTAGGGATAAAGATGGCCTTATCGAGCTGCATTTCGCTTCTGCCTCCGGTCAGTTGGACACGACCAAATTCTTGCTAGAACTGGGACTGGACCGATACGACAAAAATAACGAGGGAAGCACGCCGCTGCACTTGGCTGCGGCGAACGGTCGCTTGGACGTAGTCAAAATGTTTTTTGAAATAGGTGTGGGGTTTAACGTCAGAAACTACAAAGGTCTCACGCCGCTTCATTTAGCCGCTTTGAATGGCCACTTGGACATACTCAAATTCCTCCACGAACTGGGTGTAAATTTCAATATTAGAGATAGTAATGGTCGCACGGCCCTGCACTTTTCTGCTTGGAATGGCCACTTGGTCACCGTCACGTTCCTCGTCGAACTGTACGCAGATTTCAACGTTAAAGATAGTAAAGGCCTCACGGCGCTGCACTATGCTGCAGAGAACGGTCACTTGGAGACGATCAGATTCCTCGTGGAACTGGGTGTGGGTTTCAACCTGAGGGACGACTACGGCCGCACGCCACTGCATTACGCTACCTGGAAGGGTCACTTCGACTCGGTCAGGTTCCTTGTTGAAACTGGAGCAAATTTGAACGTTGCAGATGAGGACGGGCGTACGGCACTGCATTTAGCTGTCTGGTACGGTTACTTGGACATGGTCAAGTTTCTCGATGAGCTGGGGGCAGATCTCGACGTCAGAGATAAAGATGGCAACACTGCTCCGCATCTGTCGTTTGACATGGGTTATCTTGAGATTTCCAACTACTTCGAGAATAGGAATAAGGAAGGGATGAGAAGAAGTGACGACGGGTAAGTATAGACTCACTGTCTCAAAGTCGATGGCAACGGTCTACTGTGAGGATACTAAAAATTTAAATAAAATTGGGGACATGCGGTGTTAAATGGGATGAGGTAAGCTCCATTTTCAATCCAGAATTATCTTTGGGATTTGACTAATGACGTTATCAATTATATTTTTTCCAGAAACATACCCAAATTTTTTCCTGTTACAAAACTCTCTTTTTTCTGGTTAACTTTTATTAGAGAAATTTTTCTGTATTATTTCCCGTTTAAAAATTATAAGCAATATCGTCCTTATAGTGGAGTAAAGGTAGCTTTAAAATAAGCATTATTTCGGAATAATAATTGGCAGAGCCTTGGATTTTCATAAAACCTTTTGCAATCGCCTTGAAATGGCTTATAGAAAAAAGTTATAAACTCATATTTGTACGCAAATTATTATTTAATTGTTTAAACAATAAAATTTCAAAGATTATTTTAAATAAATCAAAAAATTTCAAACCAATTTTAATTAAATTGATATTATAGCGGTTTTCGTAGTCGCTGAACAAGAATATTATATCAGAAAATAAAAATTCAAAATGGCTGATATAATATGGCCGATTTTTTTTAAACAATTTATTAAATGACAATTTTCAAAGCCATTTTAATCAAATTGATATTATAACGGTTTTCGTAGTCGCTGAACAAGAATATTTTATCAGAAAATAAAAATTCAAAATGGCTGATCCAATATGGCCGACTTTTTTTAAACAATTTATTAAGAAATGACAATTTTCAAAGCAATTTTAATCGAATTGATATTATAGGGGTTTTCGAAGTCCCTGAACAGGAATATTATATTAGAAAATAAAAATTCAAAATGGCTGATCCAATATGGCCGTCTTTTTTTAAACAATTTATTAAGAAATGACAATTTTCAAAACAATTTTAATCGAATCGATATTATAGGGGTTTTCGAAGTCACTGAACAAGAATATTATATCAGAAAATAAAAATTCAAAATGGCTGATCCAATATGGCCGACTTTTTTTAAACAATTTATTAAGAAATGACAATTTTCAAAGCAATTTTAATCGAATTGATATTATAGGGGTTTTCGAAGTCCCTGAACAGGAATATTATATTAGAAAATAAAAATTCAAAATGGCTGATCCAATATGGCCGTCTTTTTTTAAACAATTTATTAAGAAATGACAATTTTCAAAACAATTTTAATCGAATCGATATTATAGGGGTTTTCGAAGTCACTGAACAAGAATATTATATCAGAAAATAAAAATTCAAAATGGCTGATCCAATATGGCCGACTTTTTTTAAACAATTTATTAAGAAATGACAATTTTCAAAGCAATTTTAATCGAATTGATATTATAGGGGTTTTCGAAGTCCCTGAACAGGAATATTATATTAGAAAATAGAAATTCAAAATGGCTGATCCAATATGGCCGACTTTTTTTAAACAATTTATTAAGAAATGACAATTTTCAAAACAGTTTTAATCGAATTTGATATTATAGGGGTTTTCGAAGTCCCTGAACAAGAATATTATATCAGAAAATAAAAATTCAAAATGGCTGATCCAATATGGCCGACTTTTTTAAAACAATTTATTAAGAAATGACAATTTTCAAAGCAATTTTAATCAAATTGATATTGTAGGGGTTTTCAAAGTCCCTGAACAAGAATATTATATCAGAAAATAAAAATGGCTGATCCAATATGGCCGACTTTTTCTAAACAAATTTATTAAGAAATGACAATTTTCAAAGCAATTTTAATCAAATTGATATTATATGGGTTTTCGAAGTCGCTGAACAAGAATATTATATCAGAAAATAAAAATTCAAAATGGCTGATCCAATATGGCCGACTTTTTTTAAACAATTTAATAAGAAATGACAATTTTCAAAGCAATTTTAATCAAATTGATATTATAGGGGTTTTCGAAGTCGCTGAACAGGAATATTATATCAGAAAATAAAAATTCAAAATCGCTGATCCAATATGGCCGACTTTTTTAAAAAATTTATTTAAAAAGTACAAATTTCAAAGTAAATTTAGTTAAATTGACATTATAGGGGTTTTTGAGGTCTCTGAACAAGAATATTATATAGGAAAATGAAAATTAAAATGGCTGATCCAATATGGCCAACTTTTTTAAACAATTTATTTAAAAACTACATTTTCAAAGCAATTTTACTTATATTAATATTTTTAGGATTTTTCAGATCATTAAACAAATATAAATTGAAATCAACTCGTTAAATTTTAAAGAAATTTGGAAATGATGTTTAGGGTTCTGTAAAAAGTCAATATATGGGATTCTTAATTAACAAACTTATTAAATATGAAAAAGTATTTGCAATTTTCATTCTCTTGAATCATTGTACGTTTGTAAGATCATAGTTTGAAAATATATTGGTTAAACAAGCAAAAAATTTTGTTTTTAGCTTTATTAAAGTGTATTTAACAATAAATTTCATAGTTTTAGAACAAAAAAAAATTTGTTTTTCTTTAAATTTTATTATAAATTCAACGTTTTAAATAAAATAAAATGGACCATCTTAAGGTACAGTTTTCAAGCTTCAAAAAATGCTCCTGTAAAGTTGCAATATCATATTTTGAACTAAAGTTATTGGACTTTGAAACGTGACCTAAAAAATCAAATTAGTCTTTTTTTTTAATTATTGAATAATTCCAGCGTTGTATTTTCCGAATTAAAATTTTAAGATTTTTTTCATATCACTCACTATATTAAATGCTATTTCAAGAGTAATCTCTGAAAGTTTTAGATTTTTATCTTAAAAATTAAATGTCAAATCTTTAATTAATTTTGTACAAAATTCTATCGTTATGTAACTTTATTTACACACTATTCCTGTAAATATTGTTTTCCAATTTTAAAATCGTGATAACTTGTTAGCTTTAAGATTCCTCTCTCATTAAAATTTTTGTGGACTTAATTTGATCAAATAGATCAAAAGTTATAACAAATTTAGGCCTCAAGTGCCGACGCTTTACATTTTCGTACGATTTAAAAAAAATCTATAACCTACAGTTTTCATTTTAGAAAATAACTATATACATTTTTCATGTAAAATTACCGAGAAAAATGCGAAAAACATTTTTTTCTGATTTTTCGTTTTTTATTTCTCATTTCCGCAAAAGTAATTTAATTTTGACGAAACTTGGTGAAAGTATACCTTTCTTAAATAACCTCAAATTTTTTTAGATAAAAAAATCATAAAGTTTCTGAGATATTCATTTTTTTCGGCCTGAAACACTTTTTTTCAAAGAAAAATTCTACTTAAAAAATCATAGTACAGAATTCTGCCGGTAATCATTTTTTTCGTTTTGACATACTTTTTGGTGAAATAAAAAAATCTGTAATAGTTCAAAAACATGCTCAAAAATGCAAAAGATTAAAAATAGACTTGCAACAATGAATTTTTCAGTTATTGTTGATAATTTGTTTAAATTAGAAAGCACTCAAAAACTGATTACACCATTCAATTCTACGAAAAAAAATACAAAAAAAACTGTATCTCATATTGTTTGACCCAAAACTTTATTTTTGTACAGTATTGTTATAAACATCTAAGTCGAAGTACAAATGCACAAATGATAAATTATCTCTGGATGATTTGAGATTTCAGCAATACAAAGTATTAACTACAAAGTCTACTGTTGCGCGAAATCCGGAAACCCAAAATTTTGCAAAATCGTTTTATTTTTTTTTCTGGCTTTATTTGAAAACGAATTTTAAATAAGTTACATATTTACATTGCCACTTTTTTCGTTCTATCCAATGGCGTCAACATTTTTGCAATCCGCCGTTTCGTCTTCGAGGGGCCATCATCAGATTAATTTTTTAAAAATATATCGCTGCTATTTTTATGACAAAATGTAGTCATTTTTAATTCTGTATTAGACGATATTACCTACTATTGTGATCACGTAAAAAGATTTTTAGCTATCATTAAAAATTTTTCCTGAGTACGGCTCTGAACGCTTCCAAAATACCTCTATCTATTGGAGGAGAGAGAGAGAAAGAAGAGAATAAAAGTCAATACAGCACAAAATATCCAACATTTTTTTTTAATCCATAATTTAAAAAGTTGTAACTAATAAAAAAATAATACGAATTTATGAAATATTTTATAATTTCTAATTAGTATTGCTAATAGTAGTTAAAAAATTGTTGGATATTTTGTGCGGTATTGACTTTTATACTGTTATGACTTCATCCAATAGATATTTTGAAAGCGTTTAGAGCCGTACTCGGAAAAATTTTAAATTATAGCTTAAACAAGCTAAAAAATTTTTAAGACATTACAATATAGTAATATCCTAGAATAGAATTAAAAATGACTTTAGATTTTGTCATAAAAATAGCAGAGACGTATTTTAAAAAATTAACGCGATGATGGCCCCTCGAAGACGAAATGTCGGATTGCAAAAACGTTGATGCCATTGTATAGAGCGAAAAAAGTGGCATTGTGAATATGTAATTTATTTTAAAATAAAGCCAGAAAAAATTAAACAATTTTTCAAAATTTCCGGTTTTTCCGGATATCTCCGGAACTACCCGGAATTTTAAAATTTTCTAAACAGCATATTGTTATGAATTCATCAAACTTTAAAAAAATAAGTACACTAATCGATCCTACCGAAAAAAAATTATTTATTTTATTTATTCACTATTCGACTTATGTTTATAGCAATACTGTACAAAAATAGTTTTGAGTCAATTTTTCAGTAATTGTTGATAATTTGTTTAAATTTAAAAAATCAAAAACTGATTACACCATTCAATTGTACGGAAAAAATACAAAACAAACTGTCTCATTAGTTTGTTTTGTATTTTTTCCGTACAATTGAATGGTGTAATCAGTTTTTGATTTTTTAAATTTAAACAAATTATCTACAATTACTGAAAAATTCATTGCTGCAAGTCATTTTTACTTTTTTGTATTTTTGAGCATGTTTTTGAACTGTGATTACAAATTTTTTTATTTCGCCAAAAAATATATGTCAAAACGAAAAAAATTATTACTGGCAGAACTCTGTCCGATGATTTTTTTAAGTAGAATTTTTCTTGGAAATAAAAGTGTTTCAGGCCGAAAAAATGAATATCTCAGAAACTTCTTAATTTTTTTGTCTACAAAAAATTGAGGTTATTTACGACAGATAAAGGTATACTTTCACAAAGTTTCGTCAAAATTAAATTATTTTTGCGGAAATGAGAAATAAAAAACGAAAAATCTGAAAAAAAAACAGTTTTTCGCATTTTTCTCGGAAATTTTGAAGTTATGTTAAAAAATTACCTCTACGAAAGTTGTAGATTTTTGCATGATCTACAACTTTTGTATTAGATACTTTTTTGTCTGACGTCAACTTTTGCCAGAAATCCCAATGATGCAATTTTCCATAACTTTTCAACCCCCCAAATCAACCCTCCGCCGCCCCTGCTCACGCATTTATTTTTTTTTTCGTTTATTATAAGCCCCTTTACCATTTCCACTTATAAAAGTCCAGGTAACAATATTGAAAAATTTCTCAAATTGAGGTTTATTAGAAAAAAGAGAGCTTTTTAACAGGAAAAAAATTTGGGTATGTTTCTGGAAAAAATATAACTGATGACGTCATTAGTCGTTTCTGTCAAATCTCATTTAACACCATGTCTTTCAAATTTTATTTAAATTTTTTGTATCCTCAGTAGGCCTATACTATTGAGCTTAAGACACCTTGTACTAAAGACGATCGATATTTGTTACCATTTCAGCTTTCAGCAGGGTGTAACTTCGAATGGGGTCATATTTGTGGAGATTGTCCTTGACATGCTAGATTCAAACGACCTGCAAAGAGGAGGCTAGCCTCCGCCGTTTTTTCATAAGCTTTCGGATCTGGATTGGATTCTGCTTAAATTAAAACTGATCAGCTAAACTAACCCAACGTCATCGGTACTTAACTGATTTCGATTATTTCTTTGACTTAAAAATAATTTCAGAGACCCACTGTTTACTTACACCCTGTACACTAACCGTTGCAGCTAAAATCTCACTCATTAGTGGTCTCCCCACCCCGTAGATATTTATTTAGATTATTTTTTGTAGGGAATCCTTACCGGGACGTGATGATAATAAGCTTTAGATCGCAGTCCGCCTGTCCCGAGCACTTCACGGGCTTCTAAACTAAATTTTACCTCGTCCCTAGAAGGGGCGACGAGCCAGAACTACGACATGCACATTTGTTCACTTTTTATTTAGATGTAACCGATAACCGGTGTGTAAATTCCTGCAGGCTTTCGAAATGTTTTTATTCGAGTTTTCCGGCGAGTAAAAACAGGTGTTGCTACGCAGAAGGATACGTTTCGTTCCTTCCTTGCACAGGGCCCTCAAAAGCTTACAAGTCCGGTGAGTTTTATGACTAAATTCTTAAATATGTGCACGTTTATTGCCGCTCCAAGAGTTTTCTAATATTACCAGTACATAATTATACAGTGTCACAAAATGATGGAACAAAATTCGTATTTTTTTCCAGTTGAAATTTAAAAAACTCGTTGAAACAGGTCAATTAGTAAATAGAAATTGTCACTTCTGCAATATTTTCTATTTTTTTTAACCATGTTTAACAGACCTGCATTACCGACATTTTTTTAAATAGGACGGTCTATATTTTATAGTATAAATAGATAGCCCTTCTAAAGACGAATGCAGCCTTATAAGATTATACCTACTTTTTTTCATAGTTGTCAAAAAATGGAGGAATTAAATGAAAACAATAATTTAGTACTACTTTTTATTTTATTACAGCAAATGTTCAAAGTGGCCCCCATTTAGTCCACAGTACAGGCCCCCCTCTGGAAAGTTGATTACCACATACTTTATAACTCGTGAGGAGCTTCGTTTTGACGAGTCTACCATATTTTTCCTCTGCGACTTTTCTCGATTCCTCCGCTTTTCCACTCGGAAAAGTCCAAAAACATGGCAATTTCCCGGGGTCTTGAAAAGTCAAGTCCACAACTTTTATTTTTAGCTTAAGTAACTGGAAATTTTGTTGCAAATGCGGATTTAAATCTGTTCGACAGAAATTCTTCCGACATTGACGTGTCTACCGGTCGAAACATGCCAAAATAACCGGGTATTGAAAATCAATTACCACATAGGAGGTAATTTTTAGTAAAATTAATTGTAAATAATTAATTCAGTCAAAAAGTATTGTTGTCCGACAAATTTCAAGCCGCGTTTTTTCAGTCCGACAGCTGGAAATCGGAATTTTCACGGGGTATGAAAAATCGATTACCACATATCTAATTTTCATTTTTTCCACTTTTAAATTTACTGTACAAAATAGTGATATAAGTGTCCGACGATTTAATGTCCGCAAATTATTAAAAAATCAATAAATCAATAAACGTGATGAAATTTAATTTTTTCACTCCAAAAATTTCATATTTATAAATGGTTATTAATTATTATTATGTAAATTATTATTTGTTTCAAATAAATAATTATAATATTGCTTATTTTATGCTTAAAAATTTAAAAGTTATAAACAAATGAAGTTATTTTTGAGGCGATTAATACGATCTTAGTGCATAATGCATTATTTCTAAATAAATTAATATTATACTCGATATAAAAATCCTTTTTTCTCTTTCAAGTTTTCATTCGCGTTTGTTATTTTTCTTTACAAAAATTTTCCTATTTTTCTAAAAGAAAATCCCAAAACTTTTGTGCATAATTTTTTTACACCATACATACTTTTTTGAAATCGTTTAATTCTTTTCTCAATATTTATTTAGCTAAATCGAGCATATAAAGATTTACAATTACAAGAATAAAACTAAAAATATATACAAGGTGTTTCAGAAAGATCTCCCGTAAATAAAGGGGGGGATAAGTACGACAAAAAATTAGAATTTTTTTCTTATGAACTATATGTCTATCTCCTCTTGTTTTCGAGATACAGAGAGACAAAATAAAACTTTTTAAATAACATTTTTATGAAAATTTCCAAACGGTGCGAAATATTTTTATGAAATTTGGTAGCCCGGGGTTTTTAAGGGGGTCCTCTAGTTTCTCGGGTCGAAAAAATCGTTTTTTTTTTTCATAAATCACATCTACAACATGTGTAGAAAATGTGTGCCAAAGGATTTTTCGATATTCGAAGTGGTTAACAAGTTACGGCCCTGGAATGGAGCAGGTATTCGGAGCGCGCGCAATGCTGCTCCGCAAAGCCGAGCGGCGCTGACCATTATATTGATAACCCTAAATCTAACTGAATCGCGAAAAGGGAAGACGGAGCAGCTCTGCGTGACTTCCAAGAAGAAGAGGAAGGCCTACTGTATGGTCCAGGCATAGCAGATTGACTGTGAGATGAAATGTTTATTATAAATCACATGCGCGAACTTTGAAACGCGTTTTTCTTGAAACACTATTTTTCAAAACGGTGACCACGATATTTCAGAAACTATTGCACCGATCTTGTTCAAATTTATACAACATCTTTAATATGTTATAAGCCAGCGATTGAACTAGGATTATCATGATTGCTTCGATAGTTTTTTTTTCTACGAGCGAGAAAAAATGAGTAAAAAATAGAATTTAATTTTCAAAAGTGTATAAAAAAATTAATTTTTGTAATTTAGAATTCATTCTAGTTCAATCGCTAGTCTTAAATATGAAGATTAAAATGCCGTTTGGTTTTTTGATTTCAGATAAGCAAAACAGCCGCAATCTTGGTCACCGTCAAGCACCTCCTTCACTTGATGTCTTCCTATCGGCCACTATAACTTTGATTCTATTATATATTTTGTCTTCAAAAAATTTGTAAAGCTCATTTAAATGTTAATAAAGATAATGTAAAAACAATGAGATTTATTATTTCGATGGTTTGCCCGTAAAAAATTTTTGAAAAA